TAAGTCATCTTGTAGAAAGCTGTATTGGCTGTTTTCAAAATCTCGTAATCATTAGCAACTCCAAACTGCTAGCTAATTAGTCGAAAACATTGCTGTGTCGGCGCCACTCCAAGTTCGCAATATTTCCAGTCGGCGATCACGAAAGCCATTTGGCTAAGGGCAAGATTAGGAGTTTGCTGCAGGTTCTGAAAATGAACCAGTCAGGTAATTAAACAGCTACAAGGATTCAAGCTAACCCAAACAAGGTGAAAGCATCACTTAGCGCGCCTGTAGAAGGAACTTTGCAGGAATTCAGACCATCATCAAACCTGTCTTGTGCGAAAACAAATGCTTTACAATACAAGAAGGAATGCGGTCGTGATTTACTCTTTGCTTTGGAATCCTTTCCAGTTTTCTCCGAACAGCAAAATAACACGTAAGCTGGCAAGGAAGGCCTCCTGATAGATTTTTATAATTGTTTCGTCTTCTTGACTTTTCTGACTGTTTCCAGCAGCTACGCCTACGTCAAAATCAATGATAACAACTATCAAGGCAGTACGATACTATTAAACAAAAATTAGTAAAGGATAAACAATGTACAAACCTCAACAATGAATACACACAGTCAAGAAGGAAAAGAGTCGGCCAAATTGCTTGACTCCACACAAAGGAAGAAAATACGTTCGACAACGATAGCACTCAGAACAAAACCAATTTTGAGGAAGCGTGTATGTGTTAATGGGAGCGATGAGGACTGTCACATTTGTGTGATTTTAAGAAGCGGTTTCTGTGGCCTCTCATTGGTCTGAAAACACCAGCTTGAAAGGGAGAGGCAATACTGTGCCGACAAGCGGGTGGGGGGATTGCAAACGTTTAAGGTCAGCGGTGGGGACAACTATACTCAAACCAGAAGGCGAGGGAAGGCAATATCGATTAGCTCTTGAAACAGTTGTCTCTTGATACAGTGGAGGGGGTGGAAGGATTGTGAGAAAAGACGATTAAAAGGCAAGGGAGCGGAACTGATGGTGGGGCCAGTATTCAAGTACCACTTGACCCGGGGGGCTAGTTTTAACACCAGTGTGCATTTGACTGGAAACAAAGAGGTCAACAGGAGCAGAATTCTTGGAGGAAGGGGGCACAGGCATTCAGCTCAGAGGACGGAAGTAACAGCTTTTCGTAAGAGGGAGACAATTGTGCTGGGGTCTGGCAGGGAGTCAAGCAGAGTGGACTTGGAGAATGTTAAACTTGTTCAGTTGGAAATAGCAATAAGCATAGGGGGAGAGCAAAGGAGTACCAATAGGATTGAGCAATTACGTCTCACTTAGCAGAACGCAGCATTCGTCAGTTGACATTAATATAAAATCCTTGTAGTCTAGGGGAAGAGCATCCTGGCAGGAATGTTATTCGTTTTAATGTTTCGGATTAACACTTGAACTGTGCCTATGAGGTTGGTTTCGAGTGTGAACCAGAACCATTAAGAGAATAAAGTTAGGGTAAGATTATCATATGGCGAAGTACTTAGAGATCGCTAGCCCAATCATTGTGTCTTATGGGAGAAGTAGTAATAGGGATTTAATGGTTGGTCATATCACAGGAAATAAAAAATAAATTAATATGTTTGGCGTGTAAAAACAGAAAATAATAGGAAACTATTATTTAAACAACAAAAATTTTCGCGCGATTATTGAAATGACAAATATGAACAATAGGAAACACACTTTACGCAAAACGTACCCAAAAATAGGCCCCAAACCAATATAGAATTTATATCAACATTTACAGATAAAGTGTAGGCTTTTCCTGCCATTTTTAAACTCACAATAGCTTCTCCTGCTCAATAGTAAGGGCGTTTAATTCCGATTAGAGAGATCGCGGCTTCGAGGCTTGGGTGGGACACAACTTGGATCTGGGTATGCCTGGCTGGCGACGGCTAATAAGCCAGAAATGGCCATTCTAGTCTCCCTTGTCTTTGTCGGTATTGTCCTTCTGTCTATATCATTAGCCGCCTTGCGGCGTAGGCTTGAGTTTGAGCTCCAAAGGCACCATGGATGGACGAGTGTACGCCTCTATGCCACTATAAAGGTATATAGCCATCGACATATGAGCAGATCACTAAAAAATAGTTGTTTAGCCGAAACGCTTCCATATTCGGACTGTTTCATGGAACTCGAATTTCTGCTTCGGGGCTTCAGACAACCGCCGAGTGTCTGTATACAATAAACAACGCTTACTGGTCTTACCCTTTTTCTTCCTATACGGAATTGGGCGTGATAATTGTAGTGCTCTGAGCACCCCCACTAGGGTGGACCCGGATGTATGTGGGAAAGTCGAGCTTCATGAATTCTACCAGCATGCATTGGGTATATTTAGGGCAACAGTAGCTTATGTATCCCCACTCATATATCCCTACTCCCTGCATGTTTTCCTACGAAAACGGTGTTTATCGGGTTTTAT